CCCCAGCTCCCTCAGCCTCTCCTCGTAAGACTTGTGCTCCAGACCCCTCACCAGCTTTGTTGCCCTTTTCTATAAGAATATGTCACACTGATTTCACCATCACTTTTCCTAAAAAAAAAAAAAAAAAAAAAGAGAAATCCTTTCCATAATATATATCCTTTAACGCAGACTTAGGGCTGATTGGTTACTGCTACATGGTAGCACTGTGGGCAGATGCAAGCTCTCTGCCCATGCTCTGCGCCTACTGGTTGCAAAGAGCTCTGAACTGGAAGTCGAGCAATCGTCTTTGTTTTCCTGAGCTAATCAACTCTGCGGAGGGACAGGATATAGATCCCTTCCCGTATGGCCATAAGCAACCACACACAACTTCCTGGTTGATCTGAAAATTCTTCTAAGAGACAATATTTGGTTCCACATACCGCCGACATTTTAACTGATTTATAGTTTGTGTTATTGTAAGCCCTATGGCATCATTTGGGGAGAAGATTTAGATTGGAGATTAGGAACAAGTTCTTTACTGTGAGGGTGTTGGAGCACTGGAACAGGTTGCCCAGGGAGGTGGTTGAGGCCCCATCCCTGGAGATATTCAAGGAGAGGCTCGACGAGGCCCTGGGCAACCTGGTCTAGTTGGGGGTGTCCCGGCTGACTGCGGGGGGGGGGTCAGACTAGGTGACCTTTGGAGGTCCCTTCTGGCCTGGACAATTCTATGATTCTATGATTTAAGATTACATGTACCACGCAGACTCCTCAAAGGCCTCACAGTCTAAGGAAAGTGAAATGTAGAAGTCAAGAGTCTGACTACTCTTAGCAGTGAAATGTTTTTACTCTGTTTAGAGGGCAGAGGCACAGAGATGCTGTGCATAGCTGCACTTCATAAGGTTACACCAATTAATAAAGGATATTCACTCTAGACTGACAGAATTAACCCTTGTAACATGGTGTATGAGTTTTGTATTGACTGTATTTAGCTTAACTGTATTGTCTCTCTGCACATAGTCCCTGTTGATCTGTAATTGCATCTGTGTACCTTATCCACCTAATCCTCATTTCCTTCTACGTTGCCTAAAAAGTCCATTCCTTATACTTTTGTTTCTCAATTTTAAAGAATATGTTAATTTCAAGAGTCTCTCACTCTCTTTATGTAGGCCTAGTCACATTTTAAGGATTGTGACAGTGGAGATTACTTCTTTATTTGTGTGTACAGAGGGAGCCCAAAACAAAAAACCAGAATACTAAACTGAAGAGAAAGCAAGACAACTTGTACTGCCCTCTGAGCAAAGGAAAACCACTCTAAACATTTTACATTCATATATGTATACACACACACTGGCATGTGCACACACACACACCTGTCATCATTACCTTAACAAAAGAGAAAATCCTTTTGTAGATTAATTCAGTCAGGAACTGAAAATGCTAGAAGAATGCTATTTCTAAAGGAACACAGATATTGAGAAAACCAATTACGTATTTTGCCCTACCTGGGAAAAATGTGTGTTCCAAATCTGAGGATGCTATAAGCAGTAAAGAAACCATCTTTCTTTAGACCTAGGTTTTCAAAACCCTCTGTAACTCTTGCAACAAATCAGCACTCTCAAATTCTGTCACAAAATCCACAAGGCACGTAATTACATGAACATATATTTGATTGAACAAGTACTTACTTCCCTGCATCCCCACCTTAATTAACACAGCAATAATGAAAGTGTTCCAGGGTTGATTAAGTTTTGAAAAAACGCAAAAAACTTTGGAAAAGTTAAATTTAGAAAATAATGGAATAGACATGTAGCATGAGCGAAATCAACAATAACTTTTAACTAAGTATTTGATTTCTAACAAGAACAGGAGCTTAATTCAGTCAATTAAATACAGGTCTCCAGCGCCAGCTAAGATTTCCCTAGGCTGTTCTGTCTAGGCTTCAGCTTTCAGTGGAGATGCACATGGATGATCTGGGGCAAACCAAATGGCATTAGGTGCACATGGCAGCTAGGCTTCAGCTTTCAGTGGAGATGCACATCTCTTGTAGGTCCAGTGCACACATGGATGATCCGGGACAAACCAAATGGCATTACGTGCACGTGGCAAGGCAAGGTCCCTAAGTGCTTTGCAAGTGTTTGATACCATCTTGCAAGGCTGCATTATGTACATTACGATGCATGTAGTTCCACTAGTCGTCCTTACTAGGAAAACAGGTGACTCCATGCCTGATGCCAGTAAAAAGAAAGCAAGTCTTATTATTGGCCCCACTGAGTGCAAGCAATGGGGTAGCCTTCATAGTGCAGTACTGCACTTCCAATAGTGATGTTTATCCGTGGTATTTTTATTTACTGTATCCAGAAGAAGAGAACCCATCTAACCTTTCTCTGATAAATGGCCAGCTTCAGATCCTTCAAAGGAAAATGCATATGTGCTGTACCCAAAAAGCTGTGCAATGAACTCCCTAGTAAAAAAATATGTCTTTCCATTCTTCTCTTTTAGGGGTTGTTTACGTCCTGAACATTTGTGTTTGGATTTTTTCTCCCCACCTTGTCCAGTGTTCTCCTTATCCAGGTGAAGGATAACTTTCACTGAACTTACAGATTTCTTCTCAGAATTAGATGACTTAATGTATATACTACTTCAGCATCGCCTGTAGAGAAAACATAACTGATCTGAACCGATCAGATGGACAGTTCTCACTTTTCAGTCATCTTGACTTACTACTTCTTAGTTGGAACATCTGCACTTTGATTATATCAGTTGCTCCTAAGAAACAAAACTTTCTTCTTTGATACGTGCAAAGCCTCAGAGTGCAACACAAATTTTGTTTATCATGCATTATCAACAGTATCATCATTTTTTTTCAAAATGCAGGTATAATACCTTTTACGGCTAAAGATATATTAACTTATTTTTCCTTTTAAAAGTTATAGTATTACAAATACTTCCAAGCTAGTAATTTTTGAAGCCTCCAGCATAGATGGTGGGTTCACGTTTGGCACATTTTAATGGAAGATACTAACTGCTAGAATTAGCTTTGCAAATAACAGGATAACAAAAGCGTCATTTTTTAGTATGTTATTACTAAAAATTAGCTTAGGTGAATTACACCCCTGTCAAGCTACCACAAGTGAACAGCAGCCCTGCAAAGTTATCCTGGGCTTGTATACACATTTAGTGGATGTTATAAGAATTAAAACTAGTTGTTTATGTTTCATAAGCAATTGCATACTTCCATAATCCAGAAATTATTCAGCGAGAGAAACACAGCACTGCGAGAATGCACTAGAGAGATGTAAGACCCAAAGAAGTTTAGCTGGCTCGTCACTGCAAAGTGGTTAACTTAACAGCACATGTGAAAATGTCCCCTGATCCCTAGACGTGTCCTCTGCCTATTCTTAAAGGAAAACAATCATTCTGTGATTCTGTAAAGTCTGTAATAAAATGTAGTCCTAAGGAAACCCAGAAATAGTAAAATGCATGTCAGTGATTAAAATAAACACAAATTGCAGCATAACATGATGATTGAATTACAGCCCGAATTTGGTAGTTAGCGTGTGGTGGGTTCACCCTGGTGGGCAGCTAAGCACCACACAGCTTCTTGCTCACTCCCCCTCCCAGTGGGAAGGGCGAGAGAATCAGAAGGTCAAAGCGAGAAAATTCGTGGGTCGAGATAAAGATCGTTTAATAAATGAATAAGAAGAAACCCACCCAACAAGGACAAAAAAAACCCACCCCAACCCACAAGTGACGCTAAAGCAATCACTCACTACCAGCAGACTGATGCTCAGCCAGTCCGGGAGCAATTTTTGGATAAACTCCCACCCCAGTTTTATTACTGAGCGTGCCGTTTTATGGTATGGAATAACACTTTTGGCCAGTTTGGGTCACCAGTGGCCCCTGCCAGGCTCTTGCCCAACCCAGCCTCCTTGGTGGGGCACACAATGAGAAACAGAAGTGGCCTTGACACTCTGTAAGGGCTGTTCAGCAACAGCTGAACTATTTGAATGTTACTAACGCTATTTTTGCACCAGTCTAAAAAACAGCACCATCCA